GCTAAAATTGTATTTGTACTACATATTGCTTTAAGGCCTTCTAATTCACCATTGAACATCTTATCTGACTGAAATTACCAATAAATATAAGTAATGTATTGGAAAAATATAATGTTTTTAAAGTTTAAGAATATATAATAAGAAGTTATAGGTACCCCTGGTTTTGAGTTTTCTTTAACAAATAATAATTTATGTTCTTCTGTTTGATAAACTGAAGCATTATTAATACAGCCTTCATTTATATTTACATTCAATTTTGTTAAGCTGGTATTGAGTATATTTTCTAATTCATTTTCCATTTCAATATATTTAAATTTTGTTAAGCGTTAATAAATTTAACTAAAAACTTTAAATTACAACTACTAATAATAATTACTAAAATATATTTTAAATTCCATTATAATACGCATCTGTGATCCACCAAGTCACTAGTCAGCATTCTAACCATCGAGGCATCGAAAAGAGATTGAAGTAACTTCATAGTTCAAACTTCGAACTTTTAGATTCAAACACTCAAGTGTCTTAATTTCTTATGTCAAGTGTCGACTATCAAGTATTTGGTATATAGTATATACTATGACACTATTAACCAGTTACTCGCACTTTAACTCAAGATGTTGAAACCGGCCATATGTGATATGTGTCGTCTGTAACTACTAACTCCGAACAACTCGGGACTCAGAAGTATACTGTGATATAATATAATATTGTTATGTATAGTGGTATGCTGAATGCTGATGCATCAGCAGCTGATCCATAGAAAAATTTGTGAGTCGCACAGTGTGACCACGGCAAATTAAACATTATATAATGGGGGGCGGGGTCGACAAAGAACGACGCCATTTTGTCGATCCATGTTCGACTTGCAAGTTGCAGTCAATGCTCAATGGCAGGGTGTGTAGGAGAAGGGAATTGACTTGGGACTTCTGAATTTCCGAGTTTAGATGTCGCCTGACGCCTAGGCCATAGGTTTTAATTGTTTTTGTCACTCGCAAAGTCGCAACTCCTAACGATATTCCTATTTTCCGCCACTCTTTAGCGTTTACTGACGAGTCAATTTCTTTGTAATTTTCCTTCACTTGGTTCGTCGTCAGTACCCCGTCTTGAGACGCGATGGTCTGAAACCTATCTAAAAGTCAATAAATTGATATTTTCATTGTTTCTGTTTTTTTTTTTTTTTAATTTCGTCTGATAAGTGAAAACCAGCAGACGAGCACAACTTAAGATGGAAAGTCTTTGCAACTACGCTAGTGACGATGACAACAGTCCGACTATTCCTAGTCCTCGGAGGGAAGTCCATGTAAGTTTATTTTTTATTAATTATCTACTATAGTACTATCCGGTTACACTTGCGTAATTCATGAAGTCGAATTCTGTAATATTAATAAATAATAACTAGGTATGCTCACAAATGTCATGGCCATATTGTACACCGTTAGGTTATAATTTATTTACCACTTAATATAAATTTTATGAATATAGGTTGTATATTTGTTCTTAATGTCATCAGCAGCAGTTTGTGTCTTTATTAGGAACATTACTTAATATTTAAATTAATATTGATTATTCTACTTATGGTTTATTACTTACAACAATAAAAGTATTGATATTTTTAGAAATAAAATGTGGATGAACCATTAAATAACTAACCAAAGTGCCTAAATAAATCTATATCACCTTCTATTAAATATTTTTAGACTAAACTTACCAGAACAAATGGAATGGAAGCTGATGCAAATTATGAACAAGTTACCATGGATATGAGTGAGGTATGGAAAAGTACAACATTAATCAATTCGATTAATGTTAGTTAAGGATATTTAAATTACTGTTAAGATCCTTGTTAAGATCATTAGGTAGATAAACTTCTATATTTTTAACATTTAAATTATTGCTTATACTTAACTTATAATGTTGTGAAGCATATTTTTTAGATTTTAAGTGAGTATGATTTGTCATTTAAATCAGCTATTTCCGGACAGACTTTGAAAAAATATAATATTTAATGGTCTCTATTGACTCTTTTACATATTATTCTAAATAGGTATATATTTTTATTTAGTTYGAAAARAACAAATGGCTTAAACTATTTTCTGATTTTTGTAGTTTATATTAATTCCAAAAAACCATCTAAATTGTGTTATTTGTGAACATTCACATCTATAATTCAAAATTAATAGTACTTCAGTAAATAGTTTTCTACTGTTAACCATAACATAGTTATATTACTAAAAGTTTTAAATTTTCTCATCATAGGAATAAAACTTATTAATAATATAGTATGGTACTAGTATATTGTAATAAATAAACTACCTACCTAATAATTGTATTTACAATTTTGTAACAGTTATGTTAAAATTTGTTCTGGATTACAATGATTAATCAATCAATTAAAAGACTAGTTACATATCATAATTTCGTACATTTTAATTCCATTAAATCCTCATAATGATATTTTTGTTTTCATTCTGAAGATTTTATTAAAGAGACCAGCCATTCAGTATGATTACACAAGTCGCCCTGGTTAAATTCATATTACCAAAACTGAAGGTGGGTAAAACATATTTTGATGTAGGGCATACAAAAAAAAAAATTTAAATAAAAGTAAGCTAATTCAATTCTAAAAAAAAGTTGATTCCGGTTAAAACCAATATTAACACGAAATTGTTCTGAAATTATATATAAAATAGTCCACGAGTAGTCAATCGACTGTGGGAGTCTTTGCCACTGATTCTTTGCGCCGCTTGAAGAGGAATATTGAATGCGGCTGATTATCAATACTGTACATTCACATTGGTGAGTAATAACGAAAACAATCAGGTAAACCCTTTCCCACTAGATGTCATTCTCTGTGAGCTGTGGCCTTGAAGGTATATTTTTTTATTATCATTAACTGTTAGGTGTTAATTATTAATTTAAAACACCAATATCGACTATCTTTTACTTTTTTCGACATAATTATATTTTAAATTATTTAATTATATTTGATAATATTTTATCAATTTTATATTTACATATTTAAACATAATTGACTGACAAAACAAATATGTTTAATATGATAAAAAAAATTGTTATTTATTTTTTCATCTAATAATTAATTTTAGTTCTATATTTTCAGCAGGAATCAAACCATAGCTCAACCAAATCGCCTCCACCCAAAAGCCAAACTTCACCTTCTAGTTCAGCATCATCCCCTATATCTATATCGCAAACTTCAAGGTCACGTAATACCAGCAAACGTGGAAATCATAGTGATACTAAAACAAGTAGTTCTGATGAAGAAAAAAAAAGTCATATCCGTCATAGAAGGTATAGTTTCTTTTTATCCACTCTTATATTTTAAAATCTATGTATTGTTATTACATTTATATTTGCTTATATATATATAAATTAGAAATAAATCAAGAGATCGTCATAGTAAAAAACATTCTCATCGATCAAGGAGTCGCAGTAGTGGTAGAAAACGTTCTCGGCGATCCCGTAGTCATAGTCATAGTCGTAACAAGAAACGAACACGTCGATCACGCAGTCGAAGTGAAAGGTTGTTTGTGATGCTTTTTACTATAAATAATATATTTATCAAGGATTTAGAACATTTAATATAATTTTTTTTGTTCCTGATAAAGAAATGGTAATAGTAGAAGATCGAGTCCTCAATCAAGACATGAAACAAAGAATCATAATAAACACAGTCGATCTAGAAGTAAAGAAAAATATACATCATCACATAATTATTTCTTGGAAAAGAAAGCTAATAATAAACGGCAAAGTAATTAGGTTTAAATTAAATAACGTAAAGCTCTATTTTTATAATGATTATTATTTAGTTTTAGATAAATTGGGAATTGAATTAAAAGTTCCTGCTGTTGGAAGTTCAGTACTGCCATCAACCACAACAGTCACCCCTCAACTATTGCTACAAAAATCTATGGAAGCACAAGTTGAAAAAGTGAAAGAACAAACAGGCATAGAGTTACCATCTTACTACAATCCAGTAGCTGTTAACCCTAACAAATATGCTGAACAGATTCAAAAACGAAAACTTTTATGGGGAAATAAACAAAACAATGAGGTTGTTAAAAAAATTGAAGAGGCTAAACCATCTGTAATTACTAACAACAAGACTGCAACCATTTGGCAGTCCACAAAATTTGGAGATCAAGATGGAAAAGTTACTGCTAAGTTTAAAAGGCTAATGGGCATCAAAGATAGTGGGATAGGTAAATCTATTATTACAAACTATATTTGTATAGGTTTTTATTTTTTAAATAAATTCATTTTTAACATATAGGTGTTGATAATCAAACATCTCAGCAAGGACAATCGAAAGACATAATTAAAAAACAAGAAGAAATGTTTAACTCAATGGAAAGTCAATATGAAGTTGCTCGCATGGCAACACATACTCACCGAGGGTTAGGTCTTGGTTTTGGTACATTTCAACAGCGGTAGAACTTATCTTTAAACATTTATATAAAAATTGTACATTGAAACCCCACTATTAGTATTTAATTTTAGATTTCTTAATATGGAATCTTTTGTATATTTTACACTTATCATATTTATGTTTTATTTAAATACATAACATAATTTTGTTGTTGATATTATATTATTAGCTTCTTTATATTCATTATAGTTCCATATGATGAGACCATTTGTTTGTTTCATTTTGTTCATTGCCATAATAGTGTTTCTCAATTAAGAGTGCAACATTTTTTGCTCCAATACAACTCATTTCCATGGCACTTGCTGCCCACTCTATGGCGTTTATGTGGTAAAGTCGATCAGCTATGTGGAAACTTTGTGATTCTGTTGGAACCTTATAATTAGGATATGCTAACCAATCTACAACTTTAATATCRCTAACATTTTCAAATAAATAGTCAATTTGATTGTTAGAAAGTGGACGTTGAGAAAATATTTTCCAAACATTTAAACTGGCAGTTTCATTGACTCCTTCAACATTACTGATTGAATTGAAAAATTCATTTTCGTTGTTTGATATGATTGTAATTGGTATGCGATCATCAGTGATTGGAGAAAATTTTGTTCTTTTTATCTCGCCAACAATCAATGTACTTACTGTTTGGTGGTATTTACCAACTTTATTCAATGCTATTGGCATGTTAGAAAATGTGATGGGTACTTTCTGATTTTCWGCAAGAGGTGCAGCAAACACAACATAATCGTAAGTTGCCTTTTTTTTAAAATTAGTCAACAATGTATATGAATCATTGTTTTTAGTTATTTGGACTACATATTCAGGTATAAGATGTGCATTAGACTTTTTGAGAAGTTTTTCTACAACTCTTTTGTTACCGCCTTTTACGGACCATAATGATCCATCCATTCCAGCCATAGAAACTGATCCTGTATTAAAATTATGAACATTAGCATATTGCAGGCTATTATAATATAAATTTTCATTTTAATATTAAACGTTTAATTCTTTGAATACGAAAGATAAAATTTAAATTACCTATACTTATTAAGTCCCTAACATTGGTATATTTAAAAACTTAGATCTAAATTAACTATTTTTATTATTTAATGTGAATGTTATTATAATCACATGGTAATTTAAATGTTAACGTTTTCTTTTTAGGAGTACATTTTAGTGTAAAATTTTATGAACAAGATAAAATAAACCTAAATTTATAAAATAGCTATTGAGCCTACAAGTCCTTACCGACAAATTCGTGAACATTAATRTTTTGTCCGTAATTCACTCTGAGGGACGCTTGTACAAGTTCAGTGATTACAGYCTCAGAAAAATGTTCTTTCAAGTATGCATCTCTCACTGATATATTAAGATAGTCGACAAATGAAGGATCCATTGCTGTTAGTAAGTCATATATTGAATCGAAACTTTTACCATTAGTCTGTAGCTCATATATTCTAAAAGGTAATAATTTTTTAATAATTTTTTTAAGGATTTCTTAAGATTTTAATGATTTCTAATTTTCTGACCTTTCAAACTTGTCAAGCATACTATTAATAAATTCTTGCAAACGTTTAATGCTATAACCATACCGCCATAAGATATTCATCAAATTTATCAAATAGTTATCATTCTCTATAAAATCAAAATCTTTTCCATTGAACAAACCAAGTCGCTCATTTTTAAATACTGACTTACGTTTTTGAAGTCCTGATTTAAATAAAATTTTTTACATTTTGAACTTTAAGCAATATGTACATTGGATAACTTACCTAGATTTTTTACAAAATTGGACATATATCTATTCCTTTGGTGTATCACTGATCCACCCGTCTCATATTCATTGCCATCACTCATAATAACTGTGGCTAGTCTCCCACCTACCTTATTGCCTTCATATATATCTAAATTAACAAAATCTTTAAATATTTCTTTTAAAAAATATGCACAAGACGTTCCACCTATGCCGCTACCGATTATTGCTGTAAAATTAAAATTAAAAATCCAATTAAACATTCAACTTTTAACTCAATAAACGACCTACCAATATTTAAATCTGCTTGGTGTGTACATTTAAATAGAGCTAATAACCAAGTGAACATTACAAGTTTCATCAAATATTCCATTTTGTTTGCTTGGCTAAAGTGAGCGGCTATTTAAATTCATGGAGCAACATTAATGAGTGAATAAATTAATAACCATTACATTTTTAAGGAAAAATATGAATTAACTGTTAATATGTTTTTGTTGAATGATAACAAAGACAGAGTTCACTTTTTTTCATTAAGAGTCAGAATTATTCAACATGAAAATGTTTAAGCGTGATTTATGAATTATGATAGCCGGACTTATGAAATTCGAAGTTCTAGCTGTGATTTGTAGACTCGGCGGCTTGACGTTTTCCGATTAATTGATAACAACTCTACTAATCAGTATGATAACCATTGGAGATTGGACCTTAGATCACAGAATATTCTGTGCTTAGATCATATTATACAATTATGGATGGAGTCATAGCATACTTCACGGTCTACAGTCTACACGTATAAAATGAGTTGATGCCAACATTAGTACATTACTATAGGACCTGTGACATCTGCGCATGCGTGACTGCTTATCATAATATATCAATCTGTTTTGTATAATATTATGATCCACGATTTAAGATATATTAAATCGTGATATGATCTAAGCATTGGACATTTTATTCTGTGAATTGTCACAACCTGCACAACTCTCGGACGCTCGGACCACAGGTCCACAGATCTTAATTAGAATTAATATACATAGAGGAAGAATGAAAAATATATCTAATTATAWATATATAATCAGCTGAGCGTAAAAATTGCTATGTTACGCACTTGCAAGACGGAGACAATAAATATGGGTGTAGCATCCTCTTAAAAATTAAATTTGATATCAATAAAAAGAGCGCAACACCCGTATTTGTTGTCTCAGTCTTACAAACGCGTAACATATCAAATTTACGCTCAGGCAGTTCATTCTAACCTCCGTTAGCTTAARAATTAGAGTAAAGTGTAGAGTGTGTTTGCCCACAAGCTGATCATATTTAAATGGTTTTGGACCATTTCACTGGCTGTGACGTGGCTTTCGTGGGAGGCGGTTATTAGCGTGTCATCAGCGTATGTGCCTAAAGATGTATAAAATGTCTTGGGTATGTTATGCGAGTGGAAATCGAGTAAAGGAATGGAGCGATGTCGCTTCATTGTGGGACTCCAGCTCTAATAGTGTAACGGATTGAGTAGGTGTTGTTTAGGCGAACAGTAAAGAAACGATTTGATAGATATGATTTTATTAAGAGGAAAAGAGKRKCGKGTAAGAACTTTTTARGTTTGTACATTAGTCCGTCGTGCCAAACCCGATCAAAGGCTTGGGAGATGTCAAGGAATACTGCTGTACAGAACTTTTTTTTTCCAGGGAGCTGGATATGATATCGACTGTTCTGTGTAATTGGTGCAATGTAGAATGTTTTGATCTGAATCCGAATTGTGTGTGTGGAATTATGTTTTTTGAAGAAGCAAAGTGAATGAGTCTTTTTAAAAGAATTTTCTCAAAATTTTTAAAAAAGGTTGGGTGAAGACTTATGRGTCTGTAAGAGGCAGGATCTTGTAGTGGTTTATTGGGCTTAGGTATTAGAATAACGACCGAGTATTTCCAAGTGTTTGGAAAGTACGATAGTGTGAAAATGGCGTTGAATATGTGTGATAAAAAAATAGTAATTTTTTTGGGGAGGTTCTTTATAATAACATTACTAATTAGATCATGACCTGATGATTTTTTAATGGGGAGTTGCTTGATAATGTGTTCAATTTCACCCGGAGAGGTGTTTTTAGCGGGAAGGGGTGGATTGAGAGATCTATCCACTATTTCTAGTTGAGATGCACTAGGCTGTATATCATAAGGAGCAAAGCATTTCGATAGGTGCTCAGCGAATATGTTAACTTTTTCGAGGTCGGTGATAGCCCAAGAGTGATCTGCTTTGCGAAGTGGGGGAGAAGGTTGTTTTAACCGTAGTAGGGATTTGGTTGCCTCCCATAAGGAACAGTTGGTTGTTGTGAGAGCTTCAACATATGAATTGTAAGAGTCATTTTTGTGCTTCCTAATTACCTTTTTAAGTTTGTTACTTAATTGATTAAGTTTAATCTTGTCATTGGGGTATTTTTATTTTTGCCACTTAGCTCTAGCCTTGCGTTTCTCTAGTAAGATTTGGATGTGATGCGGTGTTTTATTATGCGAGGATTTGTTAGTTTTCGTAATGGAGGCGCACAAAGCAGCGGACTGAATTGTTGACGTTAAAAAGTCCAACGCATCATTTACTTCGTCTGTTGTTTTTAAGGAAATGTTAAGTTTGATGTTATCATTTAAAGTTTTTTTAAAGATACATTGGCCAATACATTCGACCGGGAGTAAGTGTTTCTCTTTTTGGTGTACTTGGGCTTAATCCAATTTTGAGTAGGGTTGGTATGTGATCGGAGGATAAGTCGTAAAGGTTATTTATAGTGGAGTGAATGTTAATAGGCAATTTGTAAACAAAAAAGTCCAGTATGTCGGGTAGTCTGTTAATATGGGAGGGCCAGTAAGTAGGGTCAGGAGGGTCCAATGTTGATAAGTTGTTATAGGTTATGCAGTTGAGTAATGCTCTGCCTATAGTGTTGGGAGAACGATTCCCCCACTTAGGATTTTTAGCATTATAATCTCCACCGGAAATAATCTGAGAACTGGCTTGCGTTTATGCCAATTCCAGGAGGGCTATATATAGAAGATATATTTATAGGTATATTGTTTTGTGTAATAATTGAAACACCAGAAGCTTGAATATGCGGGAATATATAAGGGGGTAGAGGGTAATGGGATAGATTGGATTTGATATATAATGCTGCGCCGGCGTGAGATGAGCCATCTGGGTGACAGGCAAAGTAGCCCTTGTAACCATAAATGTTGATGCATGAGTTCGGGGTAAAATGAGTCTCAGATATTAGCGCTATGTCGATATTTTTGTCTTGGAGTAGGAACAGGAATTCGTCTTTATGTTGTTTTAGTCCATTAGCATTCCAGGTTAGTATAAGTAGCGCG